AATTTGTAGCTTTCAGCCATTCCTTAAGACTTAACACATTTTTTCCCATTTCTGCTTTTTCCTGCCAAACTCTTTGCAGTAACTTTTCTCTTTAAAAGCCATATTAAAATAACACACACCAGCTAAAAACAAACACTTAAGTGAAAGAAGCAACTGATTTTCATGCAGTATTCCTCCTACCCTAAGACAACACTTCCTTTTTTTTGGGTGGGGGGGCGTGGGGCATGGAGGGAAGTTGCAACTCACCAAGTTCAACAACCACTAGAAAGTGAACTTGTGTCTTACAGGTCAAGATTTTGCTATTTATCTGGACATTTACCCAAAATGCTCAAGTTCCTTTAGCAGCTATGCTCACTATGATTACACATGAACTACATGTTACCTCATCACATCATTAGATGATGGTTCAGATGAAGAGATGTTCTTGAAATACTAATTTCTGTCATAGGTGTCCATTTTCCTCAAAAGCAGTGTCTGAAGCAGCTTAGAATTATGCAGATATAAAGCTATTACTTCACCCACTCTTAAGTGCATACATACATAGAAACCTCATTGCTTTCTGAACCTACTAGTTCAAGCAGGGTCCCGGCATTTTTCTATCTATACCTCTGTTTCATAATCAAACCCTATGTGAAATATCTTGACATGTCAGGGCATACCCTGCTTGGAAGGAAAGCCCTGCATGCACATGTCCTGCTCTCTCTGGAGACACCACCAGATGAAGATAAGGAAGCCTACCCAGCCTTAGCCACTGGCAGCAGAAGTTGTAACCAAGAGCTAATGGGCTGAAGTGAGCTGTCACTACATTTGACTTTAGTGCAGCACTACTTAAAAGAAGCTCTCTGAAAGAAATATAAGGGGTGTTCTTTACTTCTATATATTTTCTAGTTAATAACCTCTTTTCCTAACATCTGTGGCTTTAGTTACATGCACTTAAATGCTAAAACAGTTGTCTTTGAGGTTCTCCGGAAGTCTCACGTATCCTATGCCTAGTGGAGAGGACATGCTCATGAATGCCTTTGCCAGTGGCAAGCCCCATCAGACTTCTGTGTCTGAAGCGACTTTCATCAAGCATATTAAGAAGTAAAGCTTCAGTCCAGGGTCCTGGGACTGGCGAGTTGTCAAAACACAAGGCATTCCTATCATCCCAGCATGATTCAACTTGCTGTCCAAAAAGCAGATCCAGCAGCCTTTGATCTTCAAAGATGACAGGGAACAGCCTTTGAGGCAGCCAAATGCGTCTTTCTGCATCACCAGATTGCTACAAAGACAGGCAGATGGGTGGAGCAGCCTCTGCGTTCCTACCATAGAAGCAGCCCAGTTCTGTGTTAAATTACAGCAGCACAGAAGAGTACATATGGCAAGTGGGATAACAGATCCCAAATTCAGTTGTGCAGCTGCTAGGTGGGACCACCCGGGTCATACACACATTGAAGAAACACTTGTTTTGCTACACTGAAGTAAGAGTAAGCCAGCTACAGAAATGGCAGAACTGCGCACTAATACCCTGCTTCAAGTGGATCTTTCACTAGTACCTAACTACATCCCACATTTAGAGGTATTCCAACACATTCGTGTGAATCTTTTGTCTTTAGGGTAAGTACAGGTTAACTGTAGCAAGAAATCATTTGCACAAACAATTACAGTTACATTACTACAAGTGAGAATAAGGGTCTCTTACCTCACCAAATGCACCTCTTCCAATCACTTTGATAATTTCAAAGTCATCTCGATGGAGCTGCATTTCCTTTACCAATTTTGTAAATGGTTTTGCTGTTTAAGGAAAAAAAAAACAAAACCACCATTATGAAGAGAAATATTTTAAGCCAAAATAATGCATAAACTAGAGGTCAAAAGCATTCATTGCACACCCAGTACAACAGCAGTTTTTCAAATACTATTAGAATTCTAGAAAGAAAAAAAATACACTAATTAGCACTTAATTTTTTTAAAAAGTTCAATCTTATGATTGGTTCTACCTTGCTGCCAGCAAATAGAGAGCAAACTAGTTTTTCAGAAGGATTTCTCTCACACTCCCCATTTAGGGTTCTGTGATTCAGTGAAGGACCATATGAAAGAGAGAGTTGATGGGTAACCCCTACAGAAAATCTGACCTATCTTTCACCCACTAGAATAATTCTCCTCTTGAGCAGAGTTCAGCTTTACTTTTTATTATTTCAGCAAGTACTAGCTAAAGCTTTAACAACCCACCCTCAGGAGATAGCTGTTTCTACTTGATAGCAATGAAACCACTTTCTACAAGATCTGTGGCTACTTTAAGATTTTTACTTTGAACTATTTTGCTGTTAAGCAACAATCACTAGAAGGGCTGCAACCTACTACATGTCCAGCAATTAACTAACCTACACATACTTTGTTCCAGTGGTCCCACTGGATTCAGGATATTTCTCAAAATATCCGGTTGACAAATTCCACTGTATCTGCAGATCTCACCAATCTTCTCCTCTCCAGTTCCCTTTCAGAATTTTATTTATTTCTATCATACCACAGGATGAGGATTACTGTTTATGCACAACATATATTACAATTCATTACCCTAATTATGAAGACCAAATCAGTAAGAAAAAACAGTGGCGCAAGCTAAACTGTGTAAGAGCAAGTGTGGTGGCTATAAAGTGGCAGCTTATGAATCTAACTTAGCACAAAAAAAAAGATTGCTCTTCTTCACCTCATCAGAAACATTATTAGACTAAAAATATTAAGTTTTTAAATGCATGTATTTTCCTATTTGCAACTGAATAAAACATCACAAAACTACTACTTGCAATTCAACCCAGATTCCCATTTTACTCACCTTACATTATCATTAAGCTAATGAGTTGTAAGCCAAACAGAATTCCTACAAGAGGGGTCGTTGCCTTGACAATGTATTTCAGATGTTAACACAAAGAAACGAAACTTTACAAACTACACAGTAGATATGGAAGTCTGGAGATTACAGACTTCAAAATTCATATAACAGCTAATAAAACAAAGAAATTGGTGTACTGAAGAGTAGGCACACTGCTTCTTTGTACTTCTTAGGAGAGGAAATATTGAAAAAGTTTCCCCATAAGTAACACCCCTTTCACTGCATGTTTCTTGTCCATCCGAAGTGCAAAATTTAAGAACAAGACTACTGGATTTTCTGCTAGATTCCCCATTCCAGCTGGGCAGAAATGCCTACTATGGTCTCCCCCACCACAAAGCCATTGAGAGTATCACCCCAAAACCCCAAACTGTTTCTAACTTACCCAGCAACACCAACACAAACCAGTTAGAGACCTATACCAGTCCCATCAGACACCTATACAAGTAAATGTCACTGCCGATGACTGTGATGATATATATCAATATATCAAGATTTTGCAAGGTTCCGCCTTCCCTTCAAATCAGGACAGACTGAGGAAACACAATTGCAGATAAGAAACTAATATTTAAGTTCTGTTACCAAGTTATGGACTGCTACCATTTCACTTCAAAAACTGCAAGAGTCCTAGGTTGGTACTGCTTTTTCCATCTCAATTGGTCAACTGAAGTACTACATGTTAAAATTAATTAGTTAGTATTTTGACAAGCTATTTGTGCACTTAACTCATGCTGGCTTTTAGTGTTTAGCAGGTGTTCAGAAACACTGCAAATTCAGTGATCTCTCTCTTGGCAGGCTGACCACCAAGCATGAATATTCAAACGTACAGAAAAATTCTTGAATTGGATAGGGCTCTCCCTGAAATGGAAAAAAACCCTTCAAGTCTTTGTCAAGGAAACAAAGTTTCCTTAAAAGGAAGTAAAATTTGAAAATAAAACCTAATATCCACAGAATCTCATAATCACAGACATAACAATAGAGGTTATGCAGCAGATCAGAGCTCAGAGGAGGCAACACACCAGTAGTTCATTTAAACTCATATTTACTTTATTGGCATCTTGGAGTAGAAGCCTCTTTACACCAGGATGTGACCTGATGCTTTTAAGTAGTGGATTGAACAATTTTTACCTCTTAGTAAATTAAATAAAAAAATATTTCCAATTTGCTTTCCTGCTCCCACCCCAGGAGGTTGCTGTTCCTCAACCCTCCAGTATCCAGATCAGTAGCACACATAGAACTGGCAAAATTGAGTGAGCAGAAACTTGAAACAAAAAGTATCAGAGAGCTGTGTTCACTGTGCTTCCCAGAATGATGCCAAGTGATTGATATACCCACAGTGATATACCATAAAACTGTTAAAAAGCTTCAGCTTCTCCTTTTATATATCACTATTTTATAAAGAGGAAACTCAAAGCTAACTTCTGTCCATATACTGGAATGAATAATTACACTTTACTGATTAGTTTTGATCCCAATATTAAAAGTAGGACTTACTATTTGTAGTTGATTTAATATTTAATGAAAGTATTCCATCCTGGCAAACAGAAGCATTAGTTGTATTGGGGGTTTTGTTGGCAGTGATTATTAAATTTTGTTATATATACTGTTGTCAGGGTAACATTAGCTGAGAGTAATTGCAAGACTTTATTTATTCATGACTGTGAAGCTGTAATGAGAATTTGGAATAGGTGTTCCACGTGCAATATAACTAACTGCATGCATCACTGCCTTTTCTCTCAGGCTGATTCTACATTATTGTACTCACACTTGTTTGGAAGAAGGGTTCTCTCCATAAGGACACACAAGAAAAAAAAAACAAAACAAACAAAAAAACCTCACAATCAACGAACCCACTAATTTTAAGAAGCCAAAAAATGTATGCTTTCAAGAATATAATACAAAACAGTAACAGTTGATGTCTTGATCAATATTTGTAACGGGAAATTAAATGCCAGCATTTATTTCTTCATTGAAACCCACGGTTTGTTTGAAAGACATAATTCTCTTTCCACAAACAAATTCTATTCTGATCATATTCGCCTCTTCCCCTGATAAATGGGACTAAGATATTATTTTGTTTGCACAAAAAGAAAACAACAACTTGAATAATTTGGAAACATCATCTGAAGTGCAGTCATAGGTAAATAGGTTTGTGATTTAGGTTTGTTAGCTGGTGCAGCTATACTGCAGTCAATTTGTATCATGTCACCTGATAAAAGATATTTGAAGTCTGTTTCAGAATGATCAAAAGCTACATCAAATGCCAGCAGAGATGATCTGAGACAGCAGGCTAGACACTCTACACTGCTACCCCAGGAATGGGTGCATTCCTGCCTCTGTCCAGGTCAGAAGCATACGTCAAATTTCCTCTCATTTCTGAAAGCAGGTCAGAGAAGGATGGTATTGTCAACACCATCCTCAAAAAATAATAGGACAACTTTTCCCAAGCTAGACTGTGGTTAAAAATGAGAAGTGTTAAGGATGTCTTGGATTTCTACTTTCTGTTCAGATATCGAACCATTCAATAATTTACTATCTGGAATCACAAAAGCTAGCACCTTTACAATCCAACGGAAAAAAAAACCCACTGCAGCTATTCCCCAATGGCTCTAATTTGAGGACTCCTGCGTGTTTTGTTAGGCAGTGCGAGTTTCCAGAAATTCAGTCACAAAAACCACTGAGTCAAAGTTGCCAAATGTTCAAGAACATCTGATGTTTTGTATCACTGTCAGCTTCAAGTTTTAAATAAATGTGACAACTGCAAGAAAATAATACACAGAGTTACGATTCCGGCTGGAAGGGAACTCCGGAGGTCTCTAGTATAATCTCGTGCTCAAATCACAGTCAATATTGATTTCAGACCAGGTTACTCAGGGTTTTACCAGATCAGATCTCAGTAACCTCAAAGGATAGTAACTCTACGGCCCCCCTGGACAACCTATTCATATACGCAATGACCCTGCACCAGACAGTTTCACAGTTCTGAACTGATCTTATAAGTCATTTGGGGTTTATGTCACTATATAACATCATGATAACATTCAGGTAGATCTACCCAGAAGCTATGTCCGAACTGCCTGGTCATACAGAAATTCATCTGCCACCACGCTCCCTTTATCTACTCATCCCCTTTACAAAACCTTGTGGTAGGAAACTATGTGAATTGCAAAATATTAATGTCAGGGAAACAACAAAATGACGCAGATAATTGTCTGTGGAGCCATACTCCCACCAGGCAGATCCAATATTTTATTTAAGATGTTTTCTTTGGAAGAAGAACATGAAAGAGCAGCAAGTTTTACCATTTCCCTCAACCATCCCTCTGAACTTACATTGTGGAAATCAAGTAACTTGTTTGCCCTTTGTGCTCCCTTTTCAAAGAAACAGCATTCCTGTGATACAGCTACTAAAACAGTAGGCTGTCAGGTTTAACAAGTTAGTGCTTGTATACATGTCTTCAGAGATACCCACACCCAGGTAGCCCCAACCTGCTTGCTATGGTGATAAATACCTGTTACAACCCACACTTAAGTTTTAGAGAAGTACAATCCTCCTGCTACTTAACTGTGAAATTTCCCATGTATTTTAGAAATGACAATTTTTGTTAGTTCTTCCATTCTTTGTTGACTCCAGTTTTAATGTTGCCAATTATAAAACCTTGCCTCCCTTTTCCTGCGCTGGCCTGTTTCCTCTTACTGTCCAGGCCTGTGAATGCTTTTTTTCCAGTCTGGTTTCCTAAGGAAATAAGGTATGTGTGAGCAGACTGTTTGGCAGTCCAAATCCATTCCTCCTGCCTGGCACCTTTTGATCCCGGTGAAGACCATTAATATCCCCTTTACCAAATTACTGAAGTTGTCCAAATTGCTACAGGTTTTATGAAAAACAAACCCCCACCCCCC